TACTCTGAGACACACCTGGAGCCGTGCCTGATGGACTGGTCCTCAGCCATATGCCCCGCAGTGTGCCATGCTCGCAGACTCGGGCAGCCGGTTTGCTCAGCGTGGGGCTGCACGTCGATCTGTGGATTTACTGAAGCGGTGCAATATGGACACAAAGGCTTATCTCTGTCCAGAGTGTCTGAAACAACGCAGGATCCGTGGATTAATGTATTTGTGGAGCGATCCTCGATATGTAGTAGGTACTGCGATGCGGAGGCAGTAACAGGCTGCTCACGCGTGGAGTGTAGAGGGCTTCACTCTGAAGTGGTGGTGAAACGAGACGCTGCTGCTGTCAGAGTACAGACACAGTTTAATGGTGGTAATAACGTTAACGTCACTCCTGGAGATGAAAACAGGGTCTGATGTGAAACAGGCCTCGGTGCAGTTTACTCGTATCCCCGGTGTTTGTTTTGGTTTGCTTGGAGAGCCAGACGGGTGGAGTTTACAGCAACGGCACAAATAAGACGCAGGCAGCAGGAACTGAGACAACACGAAATGACTGATTGATTAACAGCAGTGTGTCAGACGTGACAATTTCATGGTTTCTTTTTTTGTTTCCTTTTTATTCACCATACATACAACAAATCGAACGATAAGGGTTATTTTTAGTATTTATTGCTGGGCAGAAGTTGTTGAGTTGGTCTGTGTTTGGATTGTTAGTCGAAAGAAGTGCTTCACGACTCTTTAGGTTAAAAAAAATACATGTAAATTGAACACTCTTTGCTTTCATTGCTTTCAAATTACTCCACATCATCACCTGAGAGGTTGCCAGTTAACATCACAACTGTCAGTTTGTCATTTTATTTATTTTTCTCTGTATTTTTTGACAGCTCAGAGCTGCAAACTTTAACATTTCCATTTCTGAAAGCACAGAAGGATGGGCTCAATCTTGCTGGTGCCTCATTATGACTTGTTTTGGTCTACACTGTGTGGTTTCTCCACAAATAAGATGAACCCGTGTGTAGACGCCCCACCGAGCGACTGACGTTTTTGGTCTCATGCTTTCAGATTAATCGTAATGTGGTAACAACCTTCATTTCTTGCAGATGAAAACAATGTCTGACGAGACAGAACAGAGAATGTGCGACGAGGATTTCGGTTCGGACGAGGAAGGCGAGGAGGGAGACGTGGAGTCTTACCTGGAGGACAACAGCAGCGAGCTCATGGACCGACTGAGAGAGCTGGAGGTGAGGGAGCGAAAGACTCGCCGTCCTCTTTTGGATCATTGACAACTCAAACCACCTCCACCAGTGGCAGACGTTTGTCTGCTGTTTCCCATTAGTTCTGTGGAGATTTCTTGCATACAAAAGCAACTGCAGCTGTCATTGATGTTGGTATTATTTTAGACCACACAATCTGGGCCATAAGAGACAATTCATGCGGTCGTTTTGGGTGCACAGCTCTGGCCACATAAACCCAGATGTTGAATGTTGACTTTGTGAAGACTTCAAATTTAAATTTAAAATGTAAAACTAATTTTAAGGTGGTGATATCAAAGGAAAGAAACTGCTCACAAAGACTGCAATGATTTATTGATATTGATTTAAGTTTATACTTCTTTGCTAATGTTCTAAAGGACAAAGTTACAGTTATTCACTTTCTTGCTGATAGATGAGCACATCACACACTCCAGTATACCTCTACAGGTAGCAGCTGGTTAGCTTTGACTGGAATTGTGGAAGCTACTCACCACCTAGCTCTCCTTAAAGCTAACAAAACCTTTTTGTTGGGGATTAGCAGGCTGCTTGAAGGAAGCTTGCCTTGATACGTTTATCCATGTGACATATTTACATGTGTCCACGTGGGTGGATTTTAAAATAAATTGTTGAGATGTAATCGGCTCGGTGGGAAGGTAATATGTGGCAAAAGCACCTGTGTTAGTGCAGACGAACCAGTGGCTTTACCCAGACTTCCTGTTTTCTCCCAAATAAAAGAATCGAACTATGTTTGACCAAAATGATTTAATTCTAATATTTTGGTTTCTGGAGCATTATTAGCAGAATGGACGCAGAGACACACGTTTAAAACTTGAAGATATATATTTGCTTTTCATTGGGACTTTAAGCCACAAAAAACGGTGTGAAAACAGCCAATTGACATTTTACTGTGCCTAATCTTGCATACTGTTTCTTGACTGGAATCAGTAACTTCCTCAGGCCTCTTCTGTTTGAGTCTTGGTAATAAGCTCATTACACCAAATGTCAAATGGCTCCTAAAGGCTTTGCTTCTAACAGGTTTTTCTGCTTGGATGATAATGAAAACATCTAAATTGTGTTTTATGTTACAGCATCTGTTTTTTTTGCATTGTAATGTTATATGTGGGAAATTACTGCACTGGACTGCAGTGGTAGTTTTGGTGTCTGCTGTGGACTAAGCATAAACTGGGACCTTTGAATGTTTTTTTCATGTTTACATGATTTATTCATCATTTGCTTCGCAGGCAGAGAATTCAGCTCTCGTGCTGGCCAATGAGAGTCAGAGAGAAGCTTACGAGAGATGCTTGGATGAGGTGAGTCCACGATGAAAGTTATAAAATCTGCAAAGTCACTCACGAAACGTAAACTCATGTAAATGCTTTCTCACGCTATCAGGTTGCCAACCATGTGGTCCAAGCTCTGCTGAATCAAAAGGTAACTTAAAGTTAAATATCTATATTTAGGTTTGATTTATCTTGGATTATAGACTCAGTCTCACTGCTCTGTGTCTGTGAACAGGATCTGAGGGAGGAGTGCATCAAGCTGAAGATGTTGGTGTTTGACCTGGAGAGACAGAACCGAGCGCTGTGCGAGCTTTTTCAGCAGAAACTACCCAACCACCCCACCGCTCACTACCAGGTAATAAACTCAGTTTCTTCTCTATTTAGACAAAAAAAATACCGAACACGTAACTAGAAATAACCGAGTTCATGAGATCTCTGTAGCTGCACTTTATTTCTGCTGCAGGCTGCACAAAGCTTAGCCGGCAGGCTGTGAGTGCACTGATGGTTCTGTTTCTGCTGGTGTGCATATTGCAAATTAAATGAGCTAGAGGCACGAGTCTGTGTGCAGAGCCATCTCTGCAGTCCACCAGTATGAAAGCATCAGATTCCCAGTGCAGAACTTGCAGAACACTAAAGAAAATCTTTTTTTTTCTTCAGCCACTCCTATACTCATAACCTGCTGTGTTTGGAGCTGCTGGTAAACATAAAATAGAGGACTGAGTCTTTGTGCCGGACCATCTCTAAAGTCACCTTTACAGCCGCAGGATTTCTCGGCGGCACAGATTGTTGCATCAGTTGGAAAACAAAAGACATTTTTACCAAAGACTGCAACAGAAACCCTCCATTGTGTTTCTATATACATAATTCCTGTGTTACGTGTTTGTCACGACACACAGTATTAAAATGCATCACTGTTCCTAATTTTCTGTCATGTATACATTTCATATATACTGTTTATACATGAAAATTATGAGGTCATTGTATCTACAAGTAATTCCAACAAGTAATTCCCTGTTTCAGACATTTTTTTCTCCTCTTTTCTGTATGATGTCGGTGAGAAATACTATCCCTGACATGGTCATCTCGGGCACAGGGCTCTGGCTAAACATCCACCTATTGTTCAAACTTGTGTTTGAGAATGTTGGCTTAAAGGGAGAGGAGATAAAATGGCTCGTTTCAGAGAGCAGGTGCACCAAAGGCTCAGTATGAGATAAATGAAGATTATCTTGAAGTGTAAGAGTCCAATAATAATAGAATAGACCTGGAAAACATTAAAGGTCCACCTTAAAAGAAGATTGCAGTGAAGCAAATGTCCCTCGTGTAACCATAGAAAAGGTTATGGTTCTGTGTTCGTGTCACTATTGACGGTGTGTGAAGTAAAATCACAAAGCAAACACCTGAAACTAGGACCCAAGTGGCTATCAGCTGGACTGGATTTTATCCAGTACGTTTTTATGAGTTTGCCAGTTGTGGAGATTTAATGTCTGCTTTCTTTTGAATATAATGGAACTAAATGGCACAAAAAATATATTTATTAAGACCCGAACTCTTCCACAGCATCGTTAATTTCTCTTTGACATTTGGGCTGATTGGGACCTGATGAATGTAAAAACAAAGAATTACCAGATTTCTTTTTACCTCATTTTTATTTCTAAGAAAATAAGAGCCACATATGAGGATATATATTAAGATTTTGATAGAACAGTAGCAGTATAATGTCCCCGTAAGTAGATATCAGGCCCTTGTAGAGCAAAATTGAGTATTCTGGTCTAAATAACCCAAAATGTGATGTCCACATATGTGGACTGCAGGTCCTAGGAGGTTAAAAAGCATGCACGCTTTTTGTTATGATGATCTGATTTATCAAAAAGACCTTGTTGTGAACACTTTTTTCTTTCTATTGTTTCCATTTGCCAACCAAAACAAGCACCCGTGTAGCTAATATTACAGCTCAGCTGAGGGAAATGCACTCGATACCTACACCCTGTTGCACTGTTGCTGGTGGATGAGCAGCAATGCGCTTCCTTCAGCGATAAAGTTGGCAGATGTTATTTTGATAGAAGGAAAATAGTTCCTTTAGCAAACTAGACACAGTGAGTTTTGTGTTGTTTAGTTTAGCTTAGTTTAGTTTTTTATAAGCCCGGGTCATTATTTCTGGAAAGACACTGCTGCGGAGTATATTTTTAGTGTTCTGAACACCACTCGCCGAGTGCTTTTTAGCTCCATTATCGTCAAGAAACGGCACACGTCTTTGCCTTTGTGCCATATTTATCCCCCACTTGCCACCCTCTCAGTGCTTCTCACATTGCTAATCTATAATAAATAAAGTTAGAATTTTTCACTCGTCATTCTAACACGTCTTGTCTTTGCCTGCACTTCCTTCTTTCCTCAGCGTGGTTCTTAAATTATATCTTTACTTTTCTTTCTTTTGTCTCCCAGCCTTAACAGGCAGGATGACACTCAGTCAGTTTGCAGTTTGTCTGCAAACTGTCACAGCGGCGCTCATTTGAACTACTTTAACTGCTTAATAACGGAATTTAATAATTGATTATATTTTATTGGGTTTTTTTAATGCAAGTTATCCAATAATGTCTCAGTATATTTTAAGAACCTGTGTGTTAGTGCAGTGCTAAAGCTGCTGATTTTTTGTGTTTTTTTTCCAACGCTAGTGAGCCTGTACGGAGCTCGCTCTTTCCACCTGTACTCTAAATAGTTTCTGCCGATGCCAGGACAATGTAGCTCTCAGCCGTCTGTGTATATTATAGCCTGTAGCGTACACAGTCTCATCATAATTGCCTCATGAATCTCCTGTTACAGGTTCAGGCGGGACCGCTCCCAGACTACAATGCACAGCTGCACAATGACTCGGCCAAACAGGTGGAGCCGGCACAGACTGAAGCACAAGCCAAGGTGACTGTTACAAACCATAAGAGCCTCTGAATCAGACAAAAATCCCCATCTGCGTGTGACGTTTGAACCGCTCTGACATTTGCTTTGCTTTCAACTATTGTGCTTTAAAAAAAGACTTCACTTCTAATCTCCCTCACACTCTTTCCTGTACGCATGCACTCAAAGGTCCCCATGAATTAAGCTGTTTGGCTCTCTCCGTGAACTGTATACTGATGCTAATCTGTGTCTGTCCACAGGGAAATGGCTACCGCACACAACATGCCTCGCCGGGCCCTCGTGGCCCCGCCGCCAACATGGAGGCTCTGTCTCCCTTCTTCAAGAAGAAAGCACACATCCTGGAAGTCCTGCGCAAGATGGAGGAGACGGATCCCCTCAAGTTCCACCCATCCACGACGAGCTTGTCTTTCTGCGACTACAGCCAGGTGCTCATGTCCACAGAGGCTGTTTTGGCTTCTGCGGACCCCCTCCCGCTGCAGTGCAAATCCCACCACACACACTGCCACTGCTCCTGCTCGGACACAGACACACACCAGCATGTGAATGGTGACGGAGCAGTGAAGTGTGAGGGAGGGAACACCTGCTGTTTACACTGCAAGAGGAGCCCAGAGAGCCCTCCAAAGCCATGCAACCATGTCTGTAGTCCTTCAAAAGCCACCCAGAGCCATATAGTTCCTGCAGCTGCTATGAGTGAATGTCACAGTAAGACCAGAGCGGGAGAGTCTAAACAGAGCACCAAGAATGAAGCCAACCAGCAACCAGCGGGCGCCGCCGCCCACTCATCCATCGCAGAAGCAGCCAGTCAGAATCTGGAAGGAGAGCAGGATAACTCGGAGCTAAACGCTAGTGCCTCTGAAGAGCTCACTGGTTTCTGTGCCACCTCCCACCTGCCTACTTCTGCACAGGAGGCCCACTGTGACTTGGATACAAGCGATGGCGTTCCCAACGGTTTGGCGCTCTCATTTGGTGACGAACCCTCAGCCGTCCCTGAGAAAGACGCCACAGATCCGGAGGCTTCCTGTGTAAGAGCCAGTGCATCCGTCAGCCCCAGTCCCTCCTGTCTCAGCGACGTTAAAGCCGCTGCCATCAACTCCCCATCCAAACTGCTCAAGTTCTTAAAGATTCCCTCGATGGGGGAGAAGTCGCAGGCTCCCACCTCTTCTGTCCGCCTGAGCCCTCAGCTCACTCGCAACTCCAGGATCCCCTGCCGCACCAATAACTACGAGGTTTACCACTCGCCCGTTCCCACACGCAGAGCGACCACCACTGAGAGGTGCAGGCAGCCCCCTCCTCCACCCGCCCGGTCCGAGTCGTACCCCGCCACGCACTCGGCACCAACTTCCCCTCCACAGCCCGAAGACACCTGCTCCCCACCCGCTAAGGAAATAAGCTATAGCAGCCTGTCTGCACCTAAACCCACTGTGGGCTCAAAGATCGGCGCTCCCTCCTCCTCACCCAAAGTTTCTCAGAGGGTCCCTCATTATGAAAATGTCTGTGACATGTCCATCGGCTCTAAAGAGGAGGAACCAACCCAGGGTCAGGAGAAAAGAACCACTCTTCCATCTCAAACGAAGGCAAACGCTGGTGAGAGGAAGCTTGTTAAATCGCTACCAGAAAGTGTCCTGAATCCCGCGCCTCAGCGAAAGCAGTCGTCCTCATCGACATCGGAGTCTACATCAGATGATGAAGAGGATTCAGACAGCCCTGTGTGGGTTAATCATCACAGCCTACCCAACTCCTCCGCCCTCAGCAAAGCTCAGAGCAAAACTAACTACTCACAAACCAGAGAGAAGCAGGATGGGCACACAAGGGAGGTGAACATAGCGAGCTCTGAGGTCACTCAGGGTCCGCCTGCACCTCCAACCAGGAGGAGTGACTCATCGTCCATTCCCAAGAGGCCTACGGTTGGGGCGGCGAGATCTCAGGCCGACTCGAGTCACCACGCTTTCAAAGACAGACTGGCTGCGCTCGGCAAGCTGAGGAGCTCGGAGGATTTACAAGGCGGCCTCAGGCCCACCGATGCGGCGAACGAAGGCACCTACGGAGAAGAAAGAGGCAAGACGGCAGAGATCCACAAAGAGGAACAAAGACATTCGAAGTTCGCAGACTCATCGGATGGTAAACCTAAAGGTAGCAGTGGTGGTTTGAAGTATCCGGGGTCATCTCAGCTCTATGAGCAGCCAGTAAAATCTTCTGGTCCCGCACTGGTTAAACAAGAACTCTGTGTGACCAAGCCAGAGGGACCGAAGAGTAAAATGGGCCTGCCGTCACCCAACACAGATGCTCCCCAGGTGCTACGCAACAACATCAAGTGTCCTGGCTCCCTGAATCTGGCCTACAACGTTAAAGCCAGCATCGCTCCTCACAGTAGCAACAGCCCCAACAAAATCCCTCCGAAGTCACCGTCCAAACCTTGCCAAGGCCCGTCCGTCCACAGAGGGGGCAAGTCCGCAGAGGCCCCGCGTTACTCGTCCAAGTCAGAGGAGAGGACCAAGATCAGCGGGAAAGGGAAAAAGAATCCGATGTACGGAGACAGCCTCCCGCCTCCTCCTCCGAGACCTCCGGCATCTGAGGTGGAGAAGCCGTCGCTGCCGGTCCCCACCCTGCAATCCGCCATCGAGCAGAAGGTGATGAAGGGCATCGAGGAGAACGTGCTGAAACTTCAGGAGCAGGACAGAGGAGGGCAGGGCGGAGAGGTCAAGCAGAAGGCCTCCAACGGCATCGCGAGCTGGTTCGGCCTGAAGAAGAGCAAGCTCCCCGCGCTGAGCCGCAAGACCGACGGCACTAAAGCAAAGGAGGAGAAGAAGGAGTGGAAGATAAACATCCCCTCGGTCGGCAGGGACTCTGTGAAAATGGCCTCCAGGTGTAAAGAAGGCGTGGAAGGTCTGAACATCTCGACTCTGATGGAGAAGGCCGAGGGGCTGAGGAGAGCCCTGGAGGAGGAGCGGGCCTATGTGGAGAGATCAGGCAGGGGTCACTCGTGTGAGGTGGTGATGGATCAAGCTCAGGGACAGCTGGCGGTCATGTACAGGGGAGCGCGCTCTGACAACTTCATGCAACAGCTGCTGAACAGGTGAGGACTCAAGAAAGGACATCAGAGATGTAATATTTTAAGAAAGTACACTTCTTCTTTCTTCCTGGCAGAGATGTAAGCCGCTTTTAGTACATGCAAAATCAATTATAGATGTTGGTCTCAACTCAAGAATTATTTTCTGTAGAAGCCAAGAAGCATTTGGATACTTATCGCAAGCACCAGCCTGGAGCAGCTTTTTGCATATGTATATATATCCAGGGATTAAGATCACTGTAAACATCCTTTAAAAAAAGAAATACGACAACTTGCACTGAGTGCTGGGAGATTTTATTTAATGTTAGTCTTTCAAAAAAAAGTTAATCAGTAATAATCTGACCAGCTCCTCTTGTCCCTTTTATTTATTAACTTTCATTAATACCACATATCTTGAATGATGAATGAAAGGTAGCCCAGTCTTCTGCCTAATAAATGATGAAATTCACGGTGCAGACAGTGCAAGCGTCCTCCTGCATGCTGATGACGGTCATTAATTAAATACGTTTTAAAATCCATAATTAATGCAGGAAGAAAACAGGAAACTTTCCACTGAGATATATCATGAATCTTTCCCAGCGTTTTCCAGCAGTGACAGCTCTTCCTCTCCTACACCAAATATCACATGAATGCTGCTTTTTATGTAAAACGTCTTCAATGTCTAAATAAAGGAATCAAAGACGTCTTCATTATTTTTTTTAATCTGCCTGTGTGCGGTTTTAAAAAAAACAAATCCAAGCTGTGTAAACCATGTACAGCTAGAGCCCACTTCCTTGTATGTGTGCAAACACTTGGCCAATAAAGCCGTTTCTGACTCTAAATGTAGAGTGGACGGAAAGGAGATGATCAGCGTGCCCCAGCGACGGCTGTCGTTCGACTGCAAGACGTCGAAGCCGGTGTTCACCCAGCAGAGCGACATCATCAGTCACACCACCAGTCACGACGACATGGAGAAGGTATTTCTTTACTTATTAATCTGCAGTTCAGAGACTAA